ATGTGGCTCAAGCGGTAGCGCGCTCGCCTGGCATGCGTGCGGCCCGGGTTGGATCCTCAGCACCACATACAAACAAAGATGTTGTGTCCACCGGGAACTAAGAAAAAATAAATAAATGTTAAAATTCTCTCTCTCTCTCTGTGCCCCTCTCTCTCACACTCTCTCTAAAAAAAAAAAAAATACAAAATAGGGCTGGGGGTGTGGCTTAATGGTTAAGTGCCCCTGAGATCAATCCCTGGTACCCCCCAAAATAAATAAATAAAAATAAAAAGGAAGCCAAACCAAGACTTTGCACACTCAGCCTGAATAAAAATTAAAAATTGTTTTAATGAGGAAAAAATGAAGTTTTATTTTGTTAAAAATTTAAATAAGAACCAAAATCTGGATTCTGCAAGAGTCATTTGAATAAACACTGTTTTAAAAATTGTTCTTAGTTTTTTAAAGAATATTTGTGTTTTAATTGTAGTTGGACACAATATCTTTATTTTATTTATTTATTTTATGTAGTGCTTAGGATTGAACCCAGGGCCTCACAGGTGCTAGGCGAGCTACCGCTGAGCCACAATCCAAGCCCCTGTTCTCAATTTTGAAAAGAGTAATATCTTGAATTTGCACTCAACATTAACTAAAATAGTGTAAACATTTTAATGTAACTTTTTTGAGACAGTGTTTCACTATGTTGCCCAATTTAGCCTCTAAATTCCTGGGATGAAGTGAGCCTCTCCAGTAGCTGGCACTACAGGTTCATACCACTATGCCCAGCAAACAAAATTTTTAAGGAACAGAATTTGGAGTTTGCTCGCTCAACCTGAGTAAAATATAATACTTTTAAAAAAGTTAAATGAGGGGCTGGCTGGGGTTGTGGCTCAGTAACAGAGCACTTACCTCACACATATGAGGCACTGGGTTCTAACCTCAGCACCACATAAAAATAAATAAACAAAATAAAGATATTGGGGCTGGGGTTGTGGCTCAGCATTACAGCGCTTGCCTTTCATGTATGAGGCACAGGGTTCAATCCTCAGCATCACACATAAAGAAATAAAGGGGGGCTGGAGTAGTGGCTTAACGGTAGAGTGCTCACCTCACACATGTGAGACCCTGGGTTCGATCCTCAGCACCACATAAAAATAAATAAGTGAAATAAAAGTATTAAAAACAAAAAGAAATAAAGGTATTGGGACTGGGGCTGTAGCTCAGTGGTAGAGCGTTTGCCTAGCATGTGTGAAGCATTGGGTTGGATCCTCAGCACCACATAAAAATAAATAATATTGTATTCATCTACAGCTAACAAAAAATTAAGAAAAAGAAATAAAGGTATTAAAAGATATTGTGTCCATGTATAACTAAAAAATATTTTAAAAAGTTAAATAATCCTGGCATAATCGTACTTGTCTATAATCCCAGCAACCCAGGAGGCTGAGGCAGGAGGATCACAAGTTTGAGGACAGCCTCAGCAACTTAGTGAAACAGTGTCTCAAAATATAAAGTAAAAAGAACTGAGGATGTAGCTTAGTGGTAGAGCATCCCTGGGTTCATACCCCATTACTACAAAATGAAAACACAAGAAAAACAAAAAAAAAAAAAAGTGAAACCTGGAATTTACACTTCTCTACAAAATGAATTTTATTTTAAATTTTTTTTTCATTTTAACATTTTCTTAGTTGTCAATGGACCTTTATTTTATTTATTTGTGTGTGGTGCTGAGAATCAAACCCAGGGCCTCATGTATGCTAGGCAAGTGCTCTACCACTGAGCCACAACCCCAGCCCTAAAATGAATTTTATAAGGAAAATAAGTAAACAGATTTTGCACCCTTTACTCAAAGAAAAGAGCCGACAGTGTGACTCAATCTGTGGGACAAAAGGAAAGGTGGAACAAGTTGCACTTGTTGCAGAAGCTAAGAAGCATGACCTGCAGAGCTCATGCCTACTTCCCTGCTCTGTCCACGAACAGGAAATCCCATCCCTGATTCACACCCCCCAACAAGGGCCCCCACCTCACCTGCTCCTCTGTGGTGTCGTCCACATCAACATCAAACAAGGAACCCAGGTAGGCCAGGTGGAAGATGGCCAGGGCCCCAAAGAGCAAGTTTAAGGCTCGCACCCCCAGGCCCTGTGGGGGACAAATGGATACACTTGGCAGCTGGACCTGTTCACTGTCCCCCACCTCCACCTGTGCAGGAAAGCCCCGGGGGACACACAAGGCACTGTGAGTCCCAGGAAGGAAGATGT